CTATTTACAAGACCTCTTTAGCAGCTTACCTGTGGATTAGGGTGGATTTCTTGCCTACCTGTGGACATGAGGTGGTGAGATGAGTTAACCCTGGCAGGCAGCTAAGCATCACACAGCTGCTTGCTTTCCTCTCTCTGTGTCCCATGGGATAAGGGAGAGAATCTGAAAAGCAAAAGCGAGAAAACTCATGCATCAAGACAAAGACAGTTTAATAAGTTAAGGGGACAAAATGAAAAGACCCCAAATGATGCAGAGGCAATCACTCACCACCAGCAGACTGATGATCAGCCAGTTCCCAAGCAACAGCAACATTAGAAAAAATCCCCCCAGGTTTTATTGATATACCATTAGATGACATGAAAGATCCCTGCAGTCAATTGTCCCAGCTGTGTTACCTCCCAACATCTTGCCCACCTCCAGCCTACTCACCTGGAGACACAGTCAGAAACAAAGAAGGTCTTGATCCTGTGCAAGGGCTGTTCAGGAATAGCTAAAATGTTGATGTGTTATCAACACTGTTTTGGTCACCAGGCTAAATCACAGCACTCTATGGGCTGCTATGATGAAAATGACCTCTGGCCCTGATGGTGCCCAGTGGTTTTAATGCCTGTGTCTGGTGGATGCTTTCTGCTTTTGATGGAGGTTTTACCTCCTATGGGAGCTACAACTCTGCCAGTTGTGTGATGCCTGTCTGCCAGACTCTGGCTCTTAAGGGGAGGCAGCACTGATGCCCACCAGATTTGGGATACTTACTGTTCTGCTAAGTGCCTTGACAGAGCATGGGCATTGAAACATTGAAAAGACATAGAAATGAGGCAAAATCAGAAGGATTAATATACAGAACTTCTGAGATGCAAGGTATTATGAGATTACTGTAGAAAGACTGCTTAGAGCAGAAAAACATATTCAAAAATAGAGATATGTTCACTGGCAGCTTTTCTTTTTTCACACTGACTCCTCATGAACTCTCTTTGGTCCTCTTCTCTGACTTCTCAACCTCACTAGTTAATGTGAAAGAATTATATTACAGCGATATCAGGATGTTTTGTTTAGCTAATAAAACTTCATACTGTGTAAGTATGTGGGTAAGTCTTTCCCACTAGCTACCTGTTTTCCACTTTGCCTGGGTCAGGGCTCTGTCATTCCACCTCATTGTACAGAGTCAGACTCATAAAGCTCACCCAGGGTGTCACTAGTTATCTTAATCTCTTATGTTTCGGTTTCATGTATGGAAGCTGAACAAGAGTCTCAGTAAAGTGTGATGACGCTGTGCAACAACCTGCCAAGGAATGGAAAGCAAAGGTACAGGAAGAGATAAAAAAGCCATGGGTGGATGTGTTTATCAGAGCTGCAAAATCATATGCTGCTAAGAATGTTTATTTGTATTTGTGCAAAAGCCAAACTTGTTCATATATGCATTATTGTGTGCACATAGATATGTAAATATCTGTCAATATCTGTGTAAGGGTGTATTCATACATATAGATTCATACACAGAGACATGTTTTAGCCTTTTTTAAAATATGAAGTTCACAGAGTAAATCTCCAAAGGCCTTGTGTGTTTTTTCTTGCCATAAAAAATATAGATATCTACTGAGAAAATACCATTAAATCCAAACAAACATACAGTGGATTTTCCTTTTACTGTCAAATGTGCCAGCAGCAGAACACTTGAACCAACACAGGATTTACTATTTCAAATTAACTCCAGGAGGCAGCTGGGGCTGAGACCTAAGCCTCTGTGTCATAAACCCTGGGATTATAGTCACGTTTAAATTTTGCCTTCCCTCTTGCTTCCAGACTTCCACCAGGTGATTCTCACCTCTTTCCAGTAGATCATTCAGCCAGAGAATATAAAACTCATTGCCTGTAAAATCCTCACAGATTTGCAAATTGGGTTCTTGATCGATTCAAACCTTGTCCCTTTTTGTTTTCTATGATGTCCGATCTAACTTTCCTTCTTCTGTTCTCCTCTTTCTTCTCTCTAACCTGCCCATCTTTCCTATTTTCTTCCATATATTTCCATTTCTATGTCCAGATTTGTTGCCAGTTATATTTCTTGGGTTTCAATTGCCAGACAAACCAAAAGATATCTGAGAAAAAAATGCAAACTATGTACCTGTTCTTTTGAGATGCAGCTGGCTCAGCAAGATAAGTCAGGGGAGTGGTACATCAGTAGTCATGCTGTAGAACGGTTAGGCTGAAATGTGTTTCCTGGGAGATATTTGTAGGGAGCTAGCTCCCTGTTGCTCTGTCTACTTTTCTGTCACTTAGTGTGTATCCTCGAGGCCCTCTGCAAAGTGTTCTGAAGAAACTGTGCAGCTTCTGGATTACTGTCTCTAGTGAATCGTATGTTACAGCACGGCTATGCTACCGCCAAAGGGAATATTATCATGAGGGTCTAAGGAACCTGGTGGCTAAAGGAGCCATGAGTGAATGTATGCCCACCATTCTGTGTGCCCTTTGCTGTATGTTCCTCCTAAATGCATTTAGGCTTATGACGTATGCATATGAGGATGATGGTTATTTAAAAAAGTAAAAATCCATTTGCTGGGGCATGGGTGAGATATATTCAAATGTTACCATAGCTCAGCATCACAAACCACCTTCACCTTTAACATTATCTTAAGCAATTTCTGTAAGGGGATATGATTGACAACATGAGAAGGAGAAACAAAAAAAATAATTTTTGTCACAGCTGTTTGAGTAATATGAGATCCCACTCATAGGTATGACCCTTGCTAAAGGCACATAGCAATTTAAAGGTATACTGTATTACTGCTGTTTGCTCATAAAGGCCAGGAAACAGGGTTCCTGTCCAGGTATATGAACCTTTTGGAGGTCATCATCCTCCTCTGACTCACTGAAGTTTGGCCCCTAGACAGGAAGTGCAGGTTTGTCTTGAAGTATGAAAATTCACTTGTGTGGTACCCTTGTCTTTCTGATTTTATTAAACCAACTGCTGGATTTGGAAGAGATTTCTCTCCTCACATTAGACTGTCAGGAATGACAGAACAACATTTCCTTTTTAAATTTTTTTTCCCTTTTGGTTTTTCACCTTCTCATAGAGCACATTCAGCTTCCTGGAGACACCTGAAAATGTTGTTGCTAACTCCCTGCTTCTGCATGGACTCATTTTTCTCTCTCTGTTTTCCGTGACACACTGCTGGTTTTATATCAGGAACTACTGTTGCTAATCAAGCCATTTCTTGCAGATCAGACTAATCATCTTGAAGCCTAATCAACACCTGCATATTTGTAAATATCTACTGCAGAAAGAAGGCAATGAAGAGTACTACAGTATCAATGCATTCCTGGCCTTACTGAGAACCATGCCCACATAAGTCAATCACTTTTTTGTTCTAAAAATCTCTGAGTGTCTGAGTCAATCCCATTCACTCTTCCCAAGGTATGAAATAATGCAACCACTAGAGAACAATTCTGTGCTGGGAAGTGAGGGGTGACCTTGCAGTAGACCCGAAGGCAGACTTTGTGTTGGCACTGCACTGCCTGTTAACCTGACATGACTAGCCTTCTCCTTCACAGAGAGTCCTGCCAGAGTCTGAATCCCTACTCCCCCTGAACCGTACCACTCATGTACACTTCTGTTTGTTCTGTCCTGGCAGGAAACTGAATACTTTTTGACAATAGAATACCATTAGCTGACCACAGAGAATACAAATATATCACTCCCCTAACTTTGCAATTCCAAGTCAAACTTGGCATTGTGTGCACATTACTGGACCATGGCTCACCAGGGATCCATTTCTACAGCTAGCATCAAGCCACCAAACAGTTGTGTCACTAAACTAAAGAAAACTGTAGGTGATAAGAGACTGAATGTGCTGGTTTCAGCAGGGATGGAGTAAATTTTTTTTCTTCTGACTCAGCACAGTAATCTCTACCTAGGACATATAAAGAATTCTTTTGTAATCCCTTTCCTCTACAAGCCAGCTTTGGGTGTGTCAGAGGAAAGCTTCTCACTAGAAACTAATGTTGTTTCAATCATTTTTTCAGATTAAATGGGAAATATTCTTTTCCTGCATCTTGTGTGAGTTACAGAATTGATCATAGGAAGGTGATGACCAGTTCGTAATGCTGAGCAGATTTCTCAGGGCACTGGAAAAAGTATTCTTTTTACAGTAGTGAACTGATCTGTCATGACCAATAGCTTCTGCAAATATTCACCAGCTGTCTCAGGTTTTGCTCTCAGGGTGTCCATGTGAGGACAGAACTCTTCTCAGCTGTGATGTTTCAGAAAATATCTGGGTGTTCCCTTGCAACAAGCTGTCCACTGCCAAAGCTCCTCTGCATGCTGGGGAGCTTGCTTACAGTTAGCCTGAGGGTGTCTGCCCAGTCACAAATGACAGCTCAGTGGTCACACATATTGAGGGTCTTCTTCCTTGTTTACGTGACAACCTAGGTTCAAGGGTGTAAAAGTCCTTGGAACTCCACAGGAATAATCCTATGAAGGGAAATGGCAGTAACCACCACCTTCTTCTGGATTTTCACAGACTCACAGGCTTCTGCAGATCATGTCTTCTGTTTCCCCCTTTCCATTGAGTTCTGCTCAACTTTCTGATGGTATCTGGATGCCAGAAAAGGTATCTGCCATGCCACAGCAGTGTGACTTGATGCCATTTATGCAGATGCTTTTCTCTCTTGGTGTATTGGAGTGACTAGAGAATGTAATAAAGAGATGGAATTTCCGTCTAAACTGCAAAAAATGGCTCACTGGAAGGTAACCTCGTATTCAAGGCATGATTAATTTTTGAATGGGATCACCTTATTTGCAGTTTGCTGCCAGGAACTTGCTTTCAGTTTCAGCCAGTGAGGTAGTGTGGATAAGCATAAGAAAAAGGCACCACAAGGAAATAGTGAGACGAGTAGCATTAGTCATGTTCAAAGTTCAGTATTTGGGAATAGAAACTGAAACAAACATAAGACTAATAAAGGCAAATCCATCGCCCAAGAGGTGACATACAAATCCAGAAATATCCATGGCTGCTGCTGCTGGCAGAGGTAAGTACATTTGTGTGAAATGCAAGCCTATTTCTCCATATTCATGTAGATATTTACTGTAGTTGTATCTAAAAAACTGGAGCGTAGAGACAAATGTGTTGTGTTGGCACATGAAGATACACAGGGGACATGGGTGGATTTCAAAATACTAATATGATTTTGTTGACCTTGATGTGGCAGGAATAATTCAAAATTCAAAAGAACTTTTAATGTGGAAAGAGGTCTCAAAGGCAATTAAGAATGGAGCAAATTAGCTTATCTATTCACCTAATTTATTTTCATTGTGATAAATGACTAGAATAGGGCAATAAGGCTGTGCAAAGAGTTGATGGTGTGTCTGATGTGGAAGTCTATTTAATTCTTGTTGAAATGTAGTTTCAATCTATATATTTCATAATCTCTCAATTTAAAGAGCTAAGTTGTGGAAAACTGCCTTTAGTATCTTAATTCTGAGTAAATGAATTATTTTGTCCAAAAAATCACTGTTCTTAGATCCTTAAGTTTGCTCTGGATGGACTTTTACGAAATAAATAAATAGCCTTGATCACCTGCAGTTGTTTTCCTCTAGACCCTCAGCTGGGAATGGATGAATGAATCATAGGGTCAAACTTGTTTGCCACCACAAGAGACAAAATGAGTAAATCAGGCAAGTCTGCAGTGCCACCCCATAGGCATTTGTTAGTCAGAAATCACCTTCCTTTCTGCAGTAATATATTTTCTTTGCCACTCTTTTTTTTTTAGTTTTTGAAACAGTTTTCAAGAAAAGTAAGAGTTGTTGGTTGTGAAAATGTTTTTGTCTAAATTGACATTATGAGTACCAACAGGAAAATAGCTCAAGTTTTGTCTGCCTAGGAGAAGTAGTTTGGAAGATTTAAAGGCATAAGAGATTTGATTCTGCTCTTTGATTAGTCAGGGGAAAGCAGATGCAGTACTGCTGAAATCAGTGAAGTTAAACTTTAGTGTTTGCACAATCAACCCTAATGTGTTAAAGGGAGCAATGGTTCAAGTACAGCATATTTTAAACAGCCACCAACTTCAACTCCCAGCTAGGAATCCACCCATCCTGCATTCCAGAGTGCTTGTGCTGCTGCTGTGCAGTGATTACTTACTAAGGCCTTTTAGAGAAAAAGAAGTGTATAGACTGAGAGAGGTTTGGACAGAACCTGTAGAGGAAATTGTATTTACTGATCTGCTATCCCCCAATGACTCACAAATATTTTCTGTATAGATCCTACAGCCAGAGAGAACAACCAAAGGTAAGAGATGTAGCTCTATCACTGCGTGCTACCTGAGCTCTATGGGAATTTCCAGACAGCCTTGTGCCTTTTTTTCCTGTTACCATCCCCTTCCCCAATTTTCTTTTCCAATTGTCTTACTACTTTGACTGGTGCTGATCGCTGAGTGGTTGGATGGGGTTGCTTACACACCCAGCTCAAGGAGATGTTGTGGGTGTTTGTGAGTCTTCATCAAATTCCAGATGTCAGTCATTAGATTGCAACATTCTTTAAGCTGCTCACTTATGATTGGACAGGCTGATGGGAGAGTTGGCTGATGTTGAGAGCGGGCACTGCACAGTGGGACCAAACATCACTGAAGGGTTGGGATCACAGTACTGCTGATACTTTTGTCACAGGTGGAAGATACAGCCAAATGACTTTCAAAGAAATTATTTGCCTGACCAACACCCACAGGCAGTATACCTGCTGTATGAATTCAGGTGGAGAAGAGGTTCCATCTGGAGGAAATGGTGCTCAAACAATCGTGCCCAACATGCTGAAGTCAACTTCTTGGAAAATTGTTTCAATGGCATTCCACCAGTTCCTTGCTCCATTACCTGGTTCCTTTCTACTACTCCCTGTGGGAACTGCTCCAGAAGGATTCTGGAGTTCCTGAGGTTACATCCCAATGTGACCTTGGAAATATATGCCGCCAAACTCTTCAGGCACACGGATATCCGTAATCGGAAAGGTCTCTACAACCTGGCAATGAATGGAGTCATTATACGTATCATGAATCTTGCAGGTAACCCAACTGCTCTTTGGCTTTGTCTAGGTGTGGATTGAAAGTTCTGGGATTATGTGCACTCTCAGTTTGTAATAGAGGTGATGAACAGCATTGGAGAGGAATAGTGAGTCACTCTTTTCTGCTTTATTTCTTCACTAATCCTATACAGCAGCATGACCAGCATGGTCATTTCTTCTTGCCAAATCTGAACATGGAGAGTTTGGGCTTTTTCTATCCATCCACATCTTTATATGCAATGAAAAATCCTGGATGTAAAATAGAACTTGTCCATCCTAGCATATATATGCAGATCAGCTTGTCAGCTGCAGCAAGTAATTGGTTTCCCTTGTAAGCTGGAGAAGAGAAGGAAACATATCTAAAGGAGACTTTCAGATGATGCACCACAGAGGACATCTTGCATGTGTGCCTTGTTTTGTGTATATCTTGCTTGCTTGTTGATGTTTGACTGTAAAAATTATCCAGATGAGCAGCTCCCAGAAAGGAATGCACATTTGTAGAGATGAACCTCACATGCCTAACTGAATACTTACTACTGGTATGTGCAGCTACAAAATCCACCAGGACAAATGTAATCTTAAAGGACATTTCTTATCTTGGGGAACCGGTCTCTTGGATTATATGACCAGAGCATTGACAGAAGCCCTGGCCACCCTATCAACACTAAGATCAATATGAAACTGCTAAATGTTAGTGTTCATTCCAGGTTTTCCCTGATTATTGAGGTAAGTCAGACAGAGTCATGACTGAAGAAATTAGTTTATTGTCATACCAAAGATATGTGATCAAGCACAAGGCTGCCAAAAAGTATACTGAACAGCTCTGGCTGCATGTGCCACTTCCCTTTTCAGTCCTGCCACTCACTGATTCCTTATGTCTTGGCAAATGTGCTCTGGTTTTATGCTCTTATCTGCTATCTGTGATAGTGGTTGCGCAAGCCACCCTAGTGATCAATATCTCTCTCCAGCAATTCTTTTTTTAGACATATTGCTATTTGTAGAGTTTTGGTTCCCCTTTCCACTAACTTATTTGTGTAGTTATTTGTGTATCCCTTGCATGAATATCTTTCTCCTGCCCTTTATACTTACTGAGAAACAAGTGACTCACTGACATGTAAATGAAGAAAGAACTGAGCATCCTTTCATCAAGAGTGACTAGATATCTCTTTTCTCAGATTACAGTTACTGCTGGAGAAATTTTGTTGCATACCCACGAGGACAAGATGACTATTGGCCCCAGCACTTTGCTGCACACATCTTTCTGAATGCAAGAGAGCTTTGTCACATCCTTTTGGTTAGTAGACACCTGAAGAAAACAGCAATAGTGAAAATTAATGCAAAATCCTGGGAAGGAGGTTTGGATGACCCTGGAAATGGTGTTAGCAGAAATTACAGTAGGAAAAATAAGCACAGGTTTGATGCTGCATAAACAGAGGGCCAAGCAGGCAAGAGATTGCCAAGGACTGTGCTGCTACCTTGTGCCAGGAGTAGAGAAGAGAAGTGATTTAGCAGTACTGTCAGTTTTTGTACTAAGGAAAGGGTACATTATTTCAACCCTTTACATGGATCGGCTACCAATTTATTAACTTGCAGCTTACTGGAGCTATTTGATCCCAAAGTGCCTTCAGCTGTGTAATCATGATTCAAGTACTCTCTTTTTGCCTCTCAGGACAATGGCACTGATTTTAGTTAAGTTCTGAGCAATTTCGAACGCCTGGATGGGTGTATTCACTTTCAGGATCAGAGCTTATGCATAAGAGTATCATATGACCAAGATCTGCATTCTGTATTTCTTGCGATCCATACAACTGCAGAAGTCATTGGTATGCCTGATATTCTACTGTAAAACAAAGAGGAGGTGATCTACAGAACAGGAGAGAAGACCAGGACTGGTGTTTGCTTCCTGGCTCAGCCACCTTTGTGGGGCAAGTCACTTCTTGCCTGAACTGGTCCCACTATGCAGAACGGATGGCAGGAGATGGAGGAAGGGATGTACACAACTACATAATACAGACAGGAACTTATAGTAACACTCACAAAACTGACCTGTTTGTAGGATACTATAAATGCCTTATTTTCTTTCTGACTGAGGAAAAGGTACACATTACACTTCATTTCAGATCCAACTTTACATAGAACTTTAAATACCTCAAGACCTGACCTTTCTAAGTCCTGTCTGAATAAGACATTCAGGTGACAGGATACACCATCAATGGCAATATCCAGTCAATCAGCTGATTTTACAATGTTGTTAATACAATGTCATGGTTTAGGAGACATTTCCCCCTTGGCTTTCAGACTTTCTGAGTCTCCTAATGCCTGAGATGATTAAATAATTTAGCAGCTTAGACAAATGCTTGGTATGATGCTTACCAGGGAGCTGGACAGAGCTGTCTACTAAATCTTGTGAGTACTGACAAAAAGCAGCAGACTCAGCATGGTTCCCTGTTGTGCTGGTTTGAAAGCAAACCGGTGAGAGACTCTGAGTCAGAAGTACAATTTAATATGAAACACAAACAAAACAACAACAAATATAAGAGTACAAATTAACAACCCAAAAGAAAGAAGCCCCTGACAGTCAGCAAGTAACCCGACACCCTGTCAGTCAGGGGTTGATAGTAGTCCGATTGAATGGTGCTGCAGTCCTCCTGCAGTGATGGGTCTGTCGGAGCAGTGGTCCCGCAGATCTGATCCTCTCCCGAAGGTTTCAGCAGCCCCTTGTCCTCTGGAGATCCAGCAGGTGAAAAAGGGTGCCTGTGCTGGTTCAAACACCAGCTTATATCTCTGTGGGGATGCTTGGCTCCCCAGCCCATGTAGGAATGCTCAGCTTCCCCTCACCCCCTGAGGTGAGGCATCTCACCATGGGCCGATGTAACTCTATGCAAGCCTGAGTCCCAGACAGCCCATTCAACAGAGACAGCCCCTGGGGGAGCCATCAGGGACCAGGAGGATATAAGGATCACTGCCCCACTTGCTGCTTTAACCCTTGTGGAGACGACAATAGAATACATACCCTTGGCTACCCCCACACTGCAACCCAGGACACCTGTGCAGCAGTACAAGGTGAATATGTCCTTCAGATCCTGGTTTTAAAGAGCCAGCTAACAAATTTCCTATCCCTCCCCGTGCTCCAGGCAACTTTGTGGATTACTGCAGGGTCTGGATGGGTAGGAAGCTTGCACTGGGACACTCATGGTGAAAGTCAGGCACTTGCTCAACTGCTTTTCTGTCTCAGCTAAACACGAGCCACCCCTAAAATGCAGGTGAACAGGGCCCATTCTGACTAACTACCAACCCTCCACAGAAGGGATGGGAAGGTCTATGTGCTCAGCCCTTTTGAACATCCAGCCCTGTTTTATTAATTACACAGAGGTGTAATGAGGTGAGTGAGTTCAAGGCTCATGCTCCAGAGATATACAGGCTGTTGTGTCAAGTCCCGGTCTCCCTGGCAGAAGATACTGAGGAACCAGAGAGGGTCTGTTGGAGTACACTCCAATGGGCTGGGGACTGGACCACTTGCCCTACAAGGAGAGGCTGAGGGACCTAAAGAAAAGAAGACTAAGTTGGATCTAACTGCAGTTTTCCACTACAAAAAGATAGGGAAGACATAACCAAACTCTCCTCAAAGCTGCACAGAGGTAAAACGAGGCAACACAGGAAATTAGAACTGGATAGAAGGAAAAGGTCTCTCCTGACACCTGTGCTGTACTGGAACCCAGAGAGGCTGTCAGACTTCCATCCCTGCAGACACCAAGAGCTTTCCTTTGGGCTGCCAGATCCAGCTTTGGAATTAGCCACGCTGCAAACATGCTGCTGGACTAGAGAGCTCTGAAGGGACTTTCTAACCCGTGAAATTCTGCCCTTCTGCAGAATTTAGCCTCACTTTCCCTGGATTCAGCTACACAATATGCTACCTTTTAAATGCTTTTGTTTCTGAATGGTCTGTCTTTCTAGGAGGGGTTTATATGGCCCAGTAAATTATGAGGTGCTACCGAGTTGCCTGGAAAACTGTATCCCAAGGGAGATTATCTAACATACTGAAAGAGGTTCAGAGTGATCTCTTGGACTAGACGATGTGTTTTCAAATTCTGGATCATGTTGAAGAGACGGCTTAAGCTTCTGGCATCTAATTTTTAATGTTCATGTCTCTTTCTTCCTTCTAGGGGCTTCCTCCATTGCTGGCAGACTGAGTACTAGCAAACATCACTGTCACGCTTTCAAGTTCACCTTGTGCACCAATACAAAACCAGAAAAGCCACTCCCCATCAGTCTTTTCTCCTGCAGCCCTGAACTTTCATGCTGCCACCAGAGAAGGCTCTTATCACTGTTCGGGCACTGCTAAGTATTAAACAGAACAGAAGGAGCACTTGAGAAGCCACCAGGAATTTTGGATGATACAGCCAGTCAGCCAGGACACAGTGCTTTGGGTCTTCATGAGGCTTACTGAGAGTCCATCAGGGATGGAGACTCTGTCCCATAATCAGGCTTCCATGGCTTCCTTCTGCAAGTGCACTCTTGAGAGGCCAGTGTGTAACATTTTTCATGCTCAGATCTGTTCCAAACAAGTAATGAGCAATGCACTCTTGAGAATTTCTTATGAAGTCACCTTAATGGCTATGTGTGTAAGTTTCAGAACATGTAATGAAAATATCATGCTATTACAGTATTTATGTAATACTGTAATAATACTTAATTTTAAGGTTCTATTCTTCCTATTTTTTATAACTGTAAATAAAAAAAAAGAAAAGGAAAAATGTCAACTCTGTGGAGACTTTGGTGTTCTTGTTCAGTTCCTGGGCACAAATCCTTCCCTTGTAATTCCACACTCTGGAGCTCTTGCTCCCTGCCCAAACTGGGGGAACACAATAAAAAGTATCCGGTTTTTTTTCAGCTGAGTGGAATGGTGAGGTAGGAGGTACTGAAAGCTCTGAGCTATCTTTACAGGCAGAATGCAAAAAGAAGATACAAGTGTGTTGAACCTTGCTGTGGTTTTAAATTTGCACTGCAAATATGGCGAAACATCTGAATGAATCTTCTTGGAAGCTCTATGCCTCATGATTCCCAACCCCTCCAAGCAGGAGGCCCATTGTGCGATCTCACGGGGGAATGTGCTGATGCTGGGAACTGCAACATGTAGGCATAAATAATTATTTGAAGAATAAGGCTGGAGCTAGTGGGAACCATGCCTATCTCTTCTAGTTTATTAATGCTTATAGCATACTTTGGTCACGCCAAAATCTCCAGATGTTTAGCAGACAATCAAGACAGCCAGAACAGCTGCAGGCTGAGGAAGCAACTCCAATTCCTGAAATCTGAGAGTATATCTAAGGCTGAGCACAGCTAGCTGGCGAGTGTCTCCTAAGTTAACCAAATAAAATAACTGAAAGCAATGTATAACACAGCTAAAATTTTTGTTCCCCTGTCCAGGACCTCAGGCTGGATGTCACATGCCCTCTTTCTGGCCATTATAGTGTTTATTCTTTTTTTTCCTTGGGGAGAAATCAAATCACTTTATCAACATGTAGTTGAGTACAGCAGGGTCCATAACCATGCATGCTCAAGGGATCAGCCCATTCCCACTGAAGGTAGGACAACAAACTTTCTGTGGTCCACTTGGAAGCTTGCCAGTTCCAAGTCAACCCAGTCAAGTTTTTCAGACCAGTTTTAT